ATGGCTTGGCCGTATAAATGGGCTGAGACAAGAACTCTGACTTAGTTTTCGTGCATTGCTTTCGTTCATTGCACACAGATTCACTATGCTTTCTTTCTTGAACCATAGATTCTCTTTCAACTCGGCGAATGTATCTTTCTTACCGTTTGATGTAAAGCCTTTGTTGCTTTGGGTGAATCAGAAAATGATACAATTGTGTATTGAAATACATTTGCTTCCGGAAATTTCCTGGAAAGTCAAGCTGGCCGGCAAGATATTGGCCCCGTCATGTATACTGAGATGATCACAATAAAAATATTCCACTAGATCTCAAGAGCTGTTTAAATCATGTCCTGGAACATGGAAGTGAATCACGGATAGTTGAACTGATTGCCAACATCATAAGGAGACAATCTTCATTCTTTAGTCATGTTATGAGAAGGAAAAAACGAGTTCATTGTGACGGTGGAAAAGCTGAAGGGGAAAAAAGGCGGGGGGGGGGGGAGGAAGCTGAGAGATAATATGATGGATAATGTGAGAAGATGGCAGGAAAGATCGTCTGTCAGATTAAAAGTACAGGAGACAAAAGGGTGTGGGTGGATAGACATGACTACTAACAACACATGACATTGACAATAAGAAGAAGTATCACATATCCAGTACACATTGTGTGTGTGAAAATGAGGTCATTTATTTCTCTTTAGAGCAGTGGTTCTCAATCTTCCTAATGCCCCGACCCTTTAATACAGCTCCTCATGCTGTGGTGACCCCAAGCATAGAATTATTTCCCTTGCTACTTCATAACTAAGTGATTATGTGTTTCCCAATGGTCTAAGGCGGCCCTTGTGAAAGGGTTGTTTGACAAACAAAAGGGTCGCCACCCAAAGCTTGAAAACTGCTGCCTTAAGATTGTGATGAATGTCAGGAGCACAGTAACTGAGCATTGTTTATTAGAGTGCAACAGATAAGAACGCTAAGACAAACCACTCATGGGATATATATAGCATATATATCAGCCGCTGCATTGAGTTTATAACATTGATAAGCACTAGACAGTCCAACGGAACTGCAAAGACACATTAAGCAAAAAATCACACACGCACACACATATATATGTGCAGAAGTTCACTATTGCTGAGTAGAATCCTAATAATGTAGCAGTGATTTCAGTCGCAGGCACTAGATAAAGTTAAGGACGTTGTGTTTTGTGTAGGGGAAATACCAGCAAGGGAAGAGGTCACAGGAAGGACGGGAAAGGCGCTATAAAGACACTCTTAAAACTGCTATCAATTCTTTTGGCATCAACACAGCGACGAGGAAGGATGCTGCACAAGACCGTTCTGGATGGCGTTCATCCCTCAGGCATGGTGCATCAGCCTGCCAGGCGGCGGAGGTTGCACAGGCAGAGAAACGGAGGCAGACTAGAAAGAACCGTATTGCTAATCCAACACTTGCTACGGCTTCCACCTGTTGTGCGCATTGCTCAAGAACTTTTGAGGCTCATATTGGACTAATCAGCCACCTTCATACTCAAAATCAGTGATCATTATTTCTGCTTTGGATGAAAAGTGGTCTTGATAACTCGCGATGCATGAACAACACGGGGGGAATACCAGGATGCCCCAAAATTCACCTCTGGCACAAGCAGGCCGCTAATGAATCTTCTTCTGCTGCCTTCCTTCCCCTCGCGGAGCATAGGCCTTCAACCAACTCACGCCAAGACGTTCTATACTTTGCTATTGCATGCAGCTCTCCCCATCTTTTTAACCTCACCCTCCGGCTCCCTTCTCCGTGAGGTTTTTTTTTATGTTGTTGTTGTTGCTGGTCTTCCTTTATCGCTATACGCATGTGGCTTCCAGTGCAAAGACGTTCTAATTATATTGTTCTTAGGTTTTCTTACCATTGTCCAATCCAAAGCGAGCGTCTTTTCTTCAACTCTTGGTCCACTGAAACTTGTAAAGTTCTCTTGCAAAGCTCGACATTGGTGATTCTATCATACCATTTAATTCCATCTGTTCTGCACAGGCACCAGTTAATGAATGTCTGCAGTTTATTAGTAACTGTTTTAGTTGTTCTACATCTTTCCGCCCCATACAATATCACTGATCTGACAACATAATTAATTTTTTTTTAAATTTAGTATTAGTTTTAATTTATTTTTTTACCTTCACAAATTTACTAATGCAATGAAAGCTCCTCTTGTCTTGTGTGTTCGTATTTTAATATCTCTACCAGTTTTCTCCTATCTTTATCAACATCTTCATAATTACCCAAATAGATGTATGACTCTATGTCTTGGAGTGGGAGACCGTTAGCCACAAAACCCACTGATAAGTAGGGAGAAAAGAGGAGTGGGGTGGTTATATATTTGTGAGATTAAGCATTCATATGTAGGACAGAGTGGCATGCCTCGCTGCGGAGGACACGGGTGAGGAGTATTGTATGGATTGTTCACCGGGGTACACCGGTGTGTAGGGAAAGGAACAGGCGGACAGACTGGCTAGCTCTGCACAACTTGGTGGAATACTGATGCATGATAAGGCCTTGTGGGAGAGCGGTTACAGTTCGGAGGAGCCACGGCCTTCTCTATTTATAGGCCCAACAGGTCAACGGGGATTCCCGTTCTTGTGCAAGAATTTAGTCCCTCTCCCTTCCACAGTTTTTATCGAGGAGATGTATACACAAATTAAACTACAGTTTCATTAATTTTCGACATATTTTATAGAATTATACGTCATTTTTACGGTAAATAAGTGGGCAAATTAAATACAACAATAAAGGCTCTTACAGACAAACAAAAATGCTTTTGCTACAGTCAACATGAACATAAACATCAATAACGTTTAGATATAAACTAAAAGTTGTTCCAGCAAAAGTAAAGAAATATCAGTGCTAACTCTTTGATTCTGAGAGGGTATTGTTGCATCAGGGGGGCGGGGGGAGGGGGAGGGGTGACATTTGTACTTTATCAAATTTAGCGCATAAAAATACTGCTATGAAACATACACATGTCATACATAACACAAATATAAATGATTGATGGTTATTATTATTATTATTAGACTACAACAACATATAATTTTACTGTTATTTAATAATTAGTAAACAAGCACAATCAGTATGAAATTGATATGTGCAATACTTTTTTCACCAGAGTAGTTTTCTTAACAGTACTTATAGCACTACTAAATATGTATCCTCAAGGTACAAACAGCACAAACAAATTTGTCCAGTTTCATCCTGTTGGATGAAATCAATTCCTTATCATTGCGAATTTTTTGGTAACTGTTTAAAAATACATCACACATATTTCTAATTACTGCATACAACAACGCGTATAAGTATCATGAATGGTATATTATTTTAAAGATAATTAAAGCAAATTAAAAAAGACCATATAACTGCAAATTGCTGAGCAACATTTACATTTCAAACACAAAAATCCCTATATAGATACCGGATCTCGTTGTTCAAAACTTTCTGGAACAAGACTAAAGCACAGAATAAGATGAACAGCCAGAAGTTTCTGCTAGAGTTTACAGCCAGTGTTTGCGAAGCAAAAGCCAATTTACAAAAATTAACACAGACCGTACAACTGCAAATATGCATAAGAAGTGGATGAACAACCAGAAGTTTCTGCAAGAGTTTACAGCCAGTGTTCGCGAAGCAAAGCAAAAGCCAGTTTTACAAAAATTAACACATTCTGTACTACTGCAAATATGCATAAGAAGTGGATGAACAGCCAGAAGTTTCTGCAAGAGTTTACAGCCAGTGTTCGCGAAGGAAAGCAAAATCCAGTTTACAAAAATTAACACAGACCGTACAACTGCAAATATGCATAAGAAGTGGATAAACAACCAGAAGTTTCCGCAAGAGTTTACAGCCAGTGTTCGCAGAGGCAGTGGTTGTACCCCACCAGGACATAACACGAGCGATAAACACGAGGTAACACAAAGTGCCACCATGCTGATCACCCGTGGAGAGGTCCCGGAAACCCCGTTCAGCCATACTCAAGTATTTAGTGCGCCATGCATAAGCCAGGCTGGGGAGTCAAAATAACTAAAATTTGCATCCCAAATGGGGACATTTGTAAATTACCGGCTTTGAGTGATTGAGTGACTTTCTACCCCACTAGGACATCACACAAGCAATAAACACCCGATGACACAAAGTGCCACCATGCGGATGAGGATCACCGTGGAGAGGTCCCAGAAACCACGTTCAGACATTTGGCCATATTTATGGCCTGTCTATATTGCGGCCCCTGGCAAAAGCCAGGGTGGGGCTTCAAATAACAAACAATTTCGTCCTCAAAAAAAAAAAAAAAAAATATTACCAGCTTTAAACTTCTGAGGTTTGTCTACTTTTGGACGTTGATCTTGTTCAAGATCATGAGTTTTGCATGCACTTCTGTTTTACAGATCTGGCTTATCTGTTTGCACATTGTATTGTTGGTTCTTCGTCTCTCGAATGAAAACCCACGGCCTCACGGCATGCTGGTTCGGGAGGTTCGTAGAGATACCCACTCCCGAAAGTGGAGCCTTAGAACCCAAAAGGGGAGATTACTTGAGGTGTGTGTGTGTGTATATATATATATATATATATATATATATATATATATATATATATATATATATATATATATATATTAAAGCTAATATTACGTATGTGAAATATTTAAAATACACCAAATCCATCCGCTTATACTAATCTATCATGTACCGATTATGCCACTTCTCATAAATGTTCATTTATGAGATTTCAAACTGAAGAAAAATGATATTTCCAGAAAACAAATATCTTCTTCTTCTTCTTTCGTTCGCTTGAAATAAATTATCTTTATCTGCAGTGTTGTCTCTAATATAAACTTCACTACCTTTAGTAATTCACTCAGCAACCCGTAAAGTTTGACTTGCACCGATGTTTATCTGGGCCAAAAGTTTTGCCTTGATATGTTGTGTTTGGGACAGTCTTGGAGGACATAATCTGTTGTCTCTTCCGATGTCTGTGAGAAATGTACTTCAACTCTTCTTTGGCCTCCAACCTTGTATAAAATCTAATATCTTCTTCACCTCAAGTGCATTTAGTTCCGGGAACCCGTCTTTCAATAATTTCTCATCCAGGGTACACAGCATGCTTCCATCTATCTGCTCTTGTGAAAGCCGAAGCACAACTCTGTCCTTCATACCTATATATCGCAACGATTTGGATACTTCCTGAACGCTGAGCCCTTCGATCTGATTTGGAGGCATCCATCCATCATCACTGTCTTGTGTATGTTCTCCAAAATCATTGCTGTTGTACTCACCGTCGTTGATGTAGCGTATGTCTCCTCTCGAACAAGCTGAAATAGCGGAATCATCGCCCTGATTATAGGAGTCTCTAAAATCGCTAAAGAAATAAGTGCCGTTCTTCGGTTGGACGTTTGCGTCCGTTTCGGGGTAATGGATTCCATAATTGTTGTCACACAGGTTGTGGAAGTGATGGTGGCATGGCTGTGGCGCTGTGTTGTCTGTAGAAGGATTGACAAACATCTGAGGACAAGAGCTGCACGAGCAAATACGTTGTTGGGAAGAGCAGTTCTGCATGTGGTTGACGTGAGAATTATCAAACATGTGTCGTTTATGTTGGTTGTCATACAGAGAGAAGACGTCTTTTACATTTGGAAAGATATTTCTGAGGTTGTGGGAACGAATAGTAGCATTTGGATTGATGATTGTATGTTTAGAAAACCTGGGTGTGTCCCTAGACGCATAATTTTGGCTTCTGGTCTCCATGTTGAGGTTGTCTAAGAAAGTTTGTTCAAAATGTGGATGGTTGTCTGACAATTTTCGTGTCCACTCGGCCATTTGAGCAATTCCAGAGGCTTGCCTAGAACTGATTGATGGCCTTGCTTCTGCGCCTACCTGGAGTTTGTGTTGCTTTTGTGTGGGACTGTACGTAAATTTGAAAACATCATCGTTGTCCAGTGAACACCTTCTGTCAAGGCTGTCTCCTCTGAGCGGAGAATCACCTGATCGTTCTTTGTAAGCATCTCTAGACCACATTCCTTTCGCTGGAACGTTCGGCGTTGCAAGTCCTGGTGATCTGTGATGGGCTTGAAAATCTGAACGTTTCGCATATCTTGATTCTTGCTGCATTTGTACAGGTAACATATAATCATCATCTGTGTCTTCTCCGGTATAGTACTTACTATCCAAAACTGCAGAGTCGCTGGCTCTGCGGAAATGTGGAAGTTGTGGTGCTTGTGGCAAATGTTCATATTCTGACTCTTTTGACAAGTTTGTGCTGTCGCTTGGCAAAGCAAGATTAGAAATGTCAGAGTCTATCGGAACGGGAGGTAGTTCTCGTTTCTGCATACTAGCTCTTCGTTGTTTTAACAAGTATGTGTTACTTACATACACTGAACTAGTTTTTGGGGAAGCGCAGATTTTGCCTGTAGGATATTCATCGAGCTCATTATTTAAAGAACCCGTATGGTAAGTATCCTCTCTACTGCCAGGTCTGCAGTTGTCTTGCATGGATATCCTATGTTCACTATTTCTACGTATTTTTCTCTCGTTTTCAAGATCTTTGTAGAAATCACTGTAAGTGAGTTCGCTTCTTGAAAGACGTTTAGAAAACACGTCTTCGCTCCGCAACTCCTTTAACTTGGCCCTTACTTTTTTAACTTTTCTAACACTTAATTTTTCTAAGATATTACTATTTCGAGACTTCGGTTCTTTAGCTGCCTTTTCTGGCAACTCTACGTCTCTCGTAGCTGAATGCTCTGAAGAACGGGTGCAATCAGAATGAGTGAAAGGTGTATGCAACTCTCGAGTCGTATAATCCGATTCAAGTTTATGATTGTTGACAGTTTGTGTTGGAGTAGTGATATCGTTATGATTCAACTCAGCCTGCTGCTTGCGTAGAGGTGACTCGGCAGTGAGACATTTCACTGTTTCCTTAACTACCATTGATGCCCGCTGGTCTGATATCTCAGCGACTTTCTTCACGGGCGCGTTTGGACTATTTTCTATTGTTTTCATCTTACATTCTTCTGCTAGAGGTTTAGCTAAATGCGTATGTTCATCAGGAGAAATTTGCCCATTTACTGCCTTTCGAAGCTTACTTGTTTTCTTCCTCATGATCCCACGAGAAAATTCCATCTGAGTGTCAAGGGGCAATTCAAATTTCTCATCCAAGTTATTTTTTAACAGATCACCATCATGTCTCACCTTCGACGCAACGACCACCTCTTCTTCACGAATACCGTAAAGTCGTATCACCCCTTTTGGGCACTGAATGCTTTCTGTAGCATTGACATGAACAAGTTGCACGTTCACCGGAAGCCCAAACGCCATAATCAGATCCTTAAATTCATAGACAGCATCGTAATTAGCAAACGACGAGTCTCCTATAGGGCTGAACACTCCAGACATGAAAAGAGGTATCATTATCTCAGATCCCGAGGGGTCAAAGCACTGCAGATACTTCACATCTTCTTCTTTCTTAGCATGCTCATGTTTCCAGAGCTTCTTCAAGAAGCCTTTCTGTGAAGATTTGGTCTTTTTGCTATCCACGTAGATGATTCCCGCGGTCAGGATTTCCCCTGGTTTGATTTCCGATGGCATCCAGCAGCAGTTACCGCCGTCGTCTGTGGTTAGCTGGTAGCCCACAGTGGATGTTCGAACAAGAAATCTTCTGGGGTTCAGGCTGGCTATGCCATCGATAGTATCGTAGTATTCCACCGGTCTTCCGTTTTCTGGCAAAACTTCCACCCATCCTGCAGATGAGACATTAAATGTAAATTGAAATGAATTGAAGTTACAACTTATACATTCCCCAGAGGGATGTGAAGCCTAAGGAGCATAAGCTTTGTTCAGGTGTGTATTTATACACCCATAAACCCACCCCCCCCCCCACACACACACACAAATAAAATACTGTAAAATGCATACTTAAACCATACGAAACTTTTGTACATGAAAAAGGAGACGCTTAGTTTCCCTTTCAAATTTTTTGTTGGGGGAGGAGGGTGTGGCAGCCCCACTAAAAACACTTTCTTGCAAAATAGGAGTAGGTGGGAAAAAGGGGGGGGGGGGGGGCGGTGTTTAAGCTAGGGCTGTACCGAATAGTGATTTTCACTATTCGGCCGAATACGAATAACGGGACCAACTATTCGGCCGAATACGAATACGAGTAGTGTATCTATATATATAAAAATCAATGTTTGTTTGTCCCTCATAGACTCGGAAACTACTGAACCGATTTAGCTGAAATTTTCAGGATATGTTTGTTTTGATACCGAATGTTGAACCATCATGGTTTGAAATTCAACCTGTCACTGTTAGAGATAGGGTGACCACAATTCAAGCCATAATATTCGAAACTAATATTTATAATTTTAGTGATTTCTAATTATAGCCACGTTAGTAATTGCGCATGCGCCGTAGTCAGAACGTAAGTTACGTGCAGCCAACGCCTTCTCTAATACATAGAGTAGGTCGTGGTACAGCAAACAAGACTATCTCTATAGGCACTCCTTTGACTTGTTCCCCAAAATGGCGGCATGCCACATGTTGGCCATAAAATATCCAAAAATATCCGAACGACGGTGTTCCCGTATATCTAAAATACGGACTGTCTGTCAAGGGACAAATAATCGCGGCAACACTAGGATTACGTGACAGTCACTATCAACATTGCACACGGTACTAGTAGCAGACGATAAATACTGACCGTTGACAAAAATTTCGAGCGTTTCTGCAGACGACGATACTAGCAGACGATATTAGCGACCGTTGACCAATTTCGAGACATTACAGACGATGAAAGCGATTAGCAATACTGTGTTCTTCCGATTGGAGGATTTAGCAGCGGTAGATGTCAGACTTGTCGGCATGCGCCAAACGCGATTAAACTCATCGCCGAGCGTATCTAGGTGCCTGGGACTCACGAGTACAGTAATTGGAGGAAGTTGCAGGAGATGCGGTAGCTGCCACTCGTGAGTCCCAGGAATCTAGTTTAGCCCCCATCCGCGCCGCGTGTGGCGGCGCGGGGGATACGCTCGGCGGTGAGGCACACTCGCAGAAGCAGGTCGGCAAGCACCGTATCGCCGAGACCCTGTCAGAGCATTTGTTTCGTTATCCGGAGCCGACACATATATTTTTCAATAGAACTTACCCGCATTCGGATATTTTTGGATATTTAATGGCAAGATATTGGCCAATTTAGCTCTCTTACGAACGCCATCATATTAAAGCCGCCATTTTTGGGGAACAAGTCAAAGGAGCGCCTCTCTATATTTGCCACAATATTTTCTGTTAATTTTTTCAAACAACCTTTGATTGGTGGGGGGGGGGGGGCATCAAGGACTATCTCGACGTCGGCGCAGACATTGACTGCGACATTAACTTCATTAACCGTGTTAGACACGTGCGATTTCTATTGTTGTGCCGTTTCATTTATATATCTGGAGTATCTGTCTACGAGAAAACAATTGCCTGCGGTTTTGGGTTGTGTTATAATCGGGACACAGTAGTAGGGACACACATCTCTAATAGTTAAGTTCTCTTTTCGTTGATCCGATTTAGTGGCTGCTTGGTCGAATGGTTAGAACACTGGGTTCCTGTGCGGGAGACCAGGGTTCGAATCCGCAGTAGTTAATTTTTTTTTACGCCGGACTAAAATAATATCCTCATCTGCTCTTTCGTGGTGACAGCACTAGCCATGTTGCCTTAATACTTTAAAAAAAAAAAAAAAAAAAAAAAAAAAGACAAGTAAATGGGTAAACCATTTGATAATTAAATTTGACCATTTCGCATACTTATGATTGCATTTTTAAACTTTCCGTTTGCATGGTTACGCTGAAATTTCATAGATTTCCATTTATCTTCATTTAGATTTAGTTATTTCATCTGCGTTGGAATTTTAAGCTGTGCTGTTTACCATGGCGTTCATTTCCTAATTATGGTGTTTTTTTCCTGTTCATTTGCTTTTCTAGTGGTTTTTTTTTTTCTTCTAACTACTTCAATGAGGGAAAGAGTTGTCGACGAATTTAGGGGGGTGGAGCTAAACTATTAACTGAGAGAGGTTTAAGTCACAGTAACTGCTTTACCCACTTAAAGTAGCAGCAGCAGTAAAAATTGTGGTTGGGCTGTTACACCATAGTGCTCTCATGTGAAGACCGCCGGTAAGGTTATGGCGTTCTTCTGTCGGCAAGTGAAATTATACATCCTAACCTGACCAATCTGTGGCGATAGCACTAGCCATGCGGAACCAAATCTTCTGGCTCACGACTCTCTGTCTACTCCGATGGTAACACAGATACCAGTGACATTATTTTAGCTACTGTGGTCGTGGTCGCGGTAGTAGTTGTACTGGTACTTGAAGGATGATGTGGTAAATATTACGCTAGCCCCATTCACTACCTATTACAATTCCTGCTCCCCATTTTAGTCCAGATGGACAGGGATGTCAATGTCAGTTACAGCAACAAAAAATATCGCCAGGTAGTGATTTTCAAATCCTTCGAAGAGGGAGAGAGCAGTAGTCGGTGGAAGTTGGGAGGGGAGGGGGTAATGACTTAAATTTAAGAGAACTCAAAGAGCTTTACACGTGATTTTCAAGTTCTCATTACCTAAATTGTTTATATTTTACTAATGCTACCTCCGCTTTTCTATTTTTTACGACTTACTTTGTTATTCACAAGTACAGTTGTAGCTTTACTTTCGTCCCCCTTAAAAATACAAACAGCTTTAGCATGTGATAACCAAATAACCATTTTTGTTACTGTGCTAATAACACCATTTAAACGACCACTAATATAAAGACACAATTATAAGGTGCGTGTTCTAAAGTTGGAAAACCAGACTTTCTCTATATCTGTGCAGAGAATGATTGCGACATTAACTATATTAGACTCGTGCGATTTCCATTGTCTTTCTTTTCCAAAAACCTTCGATAAGGGAGAGAGTAGTAGGTGGATTTAGTTGTGGTGGTGGTCGGGGGGGGGGGGGGGGGGGGGGGCGGGGATCAAAGACTATCTCTATATCTGAGCAGACAATGATAGTATTATACACGTGCGATTTCTATTTTCTTTCATTTCCATTTAGCCAAACTATGCCACAGCAACACGTGGCCGGGTACAGCTAGTAGTGTGTAAAATATATCTAAAAAAAAAAAAAAAAAAAACCACACACAATCATAATGTCAAATGTACGCTGAATTTTTACTTTACATAAAGTAGTACAGAATTGTCATCTTCTTTTTTAGCATTCTGAGCCCTTGAGGTTTACTGCTGCAGATATCACTAGTCTCCATTCATCTCTCTGGCTGGCCTTCTCTTCACAATTTGTGACACCAAATGTTTGCAGATCTGGCTGGACATTATCTCTCGAACTTCATTTTTTGTCTGCCTCGTGGTCTTGGCCCATTCCTCTCTCAGGTGTATACAGTTTTACTTCTCTGTCATCTGACATTCTTTTAATATGCCCCAACCATTTTAGTCTGTTAGCTCTCATGATGCCAGTGATCAATGGTGATTTAAACAGATTATGTGTTACGTTGTTGCTTCTCACTCTCCATTCCCCGCTGTTAGCATCGTTGATGGGTCCAAAGATTTGTCACAAGACTGTTTTCGAAAACCTATAATAAGGCCTCATATCTTTTATTTCTGCTTCAAGTTTCAGAGCCATATCAAACGACTGGCCTTACGAACGTTCTATATATTTTGATCTTGGTGTTGCAAGACAGACACTTTGACTTTAGCAGATGTTGAAGGGCATATTATACTTTATTTGTAGATTATATTCTAGATTGTATTTCTTCTCTCAGCATGTTGGAGCATTTGAAGTATGCACCCAAGAACTTATACGTTTCAGTTCGTTTGATTTTTATATTATCGACTTGGATGTGGCAGGAGTTTACATTCTTTCCATGTTTAGTTAGTGTTCGTACAGAATAGTAAACATTTAAAAACATTTTATGTTTTGCATCCTTCAGTCAGTCTGTGGTAACTAATAACTAGAAATGAAAGAATCCTAAGTATTAGAACAAGTAACTAAACTTGGAAATTGTCACTGACAGCTTAGTTAATGCAGGAAAGCTTTCAACAAAACCAATCGTTCCATGTTGTCAGTATTAAGGCAGTGTATGGAGAAGCGGGTGTAAGGTAACTACTATTCGTATTCGGCCCGACCGCAACTATTCGGCCGAATACCGAATATTCAATAGGTCTACTCTTCGGCCCCGAAGCGAATACGAAGCGAATATTCAGTACAGCCATAGTTTGAGCCCACACATTCCGACGACTATGAAGGTTTATGCATTTCTGCAAGTAAATGTGTGAGTGAACATTTCTGTATATCAACAAAAATTCACGATACAAAAAAATTCGCTAGGAACAATAAATTTGATATAAGTTAATAAGAAAGTGAATTCTCAATAGCTTGAGGGAGCCAGTCTTGACTGTGGAGGTAAATCATTGACAGGCAGTAGATTAGTTGGAAAAAACAGCAGAAGCTGCAGAGGTGTGGTTCCATAGAACCACGACTGAAAAGTCAATGTCAGATACAAAGCGGGAATTGTGTTCAAAGAAATTTACCCACAAGAACTGTATATTATTTATAACTAGACATGTTCGTTTTATGGTTATTTCTAAATGCTTCTCTTTAAGGTTCTTGGAATTGTAAGATTTACTTTTACATTTAAATTTTTATTATATGCTGACATTTGTTTTCGTTTGGTTTAGGGTTATTGTCAGCGCTTTGTAATTCCGATTTAGCCGGTTCAGTCCAGCTACATGCTATTTGACAGTAAGCCGCTTTGAGCTGATTTCGACAATGGTATGTAGAGCCGACTGTTCACAGGTAATGTCAAACTTCTTCTTCCTCTCTGCCTTGTATCCCCCAATGGAGCATAAGCCCTCAACCGACATCCGCCAAGTCGTGCCATCCTTGGCTATTGCATGCAACTCACAGCTTGTCCTCTTTAAATGTTTAACTGCATTCTCTAGCTATATTTTCCGTGTGTTTTTGATCTGCCTTTATTTCTATGCCCTTGTGGGTTCCAGTATAAAGACATTCTAGTTATATTGTTTTCATTTTGTTCTCAGCGTGTGCCCTTTCCAACGCCAGAGTCTTTTCTTCACCTTTTGGTCCATTTGAACTTGTTTATTTCTTTACGAAAGCTTAACATTAGTTATTCTGCCATACCATTTAATTCCCTCTATTCTGTGAAGACACTAGTTAATAAATGTTTGTGATTTATTATTATTAAGACAAACTGCTGAAAATAAAATAAAATTAAAATTAAAAGAATGGATGGGATTGTTTATGTAACATATAGGATGCGCAACTAACTCTTTAAAAAAATGTGTTAGATAACATTAGCTGCAAATTCCAGCTAATTGTGAACAAGCATACAAAAGGACTTAGCGTGAGTTTATTAAGTGCCTTTGTCCACTGGGGGTTGAAAAAAATAGAAGACGACTACAAGGAACCTCCGTACATAATACACACCATTTCTAGTTACCACCAAAGCCTTTAACACACTCCAAATTATAAATAAGACATAACTGAACTAGGTAATAATAATCTGTATTGAATCCAGTTGTATGCAATTAGGCAGACCGTGAAGTCGCGAATTAGCATACTATATTTAGACCCAACACACAAGGTTGACAACAACAGTCGAACACTAGGCACAGATTTTCAATGCGTTCTCTGGTATACTTAAGCACCATAGGGAGTTGTGGCACCCGTGGCTTAGGCGTTGCGAGTCCGACTCGTAATTCCAACATACCGCGATCAAAACCCAATTGCGGCTGCGTGGATTTTATCATGGTATGGGGCGTCGCAGGTGACCCAGCCTAAAATGGGTACCAGGATGGCTGTCCTAGGGAAGTAAAGACGGCCGGCGTAATGCTGACCATATTACCCACCTAATGCCGATGGTCTGTAAAAATATGGGCGATCTTCCCATTTACCCGACACGTCAAAAGGCGTGAAAAGGGATCTTAACTTTTACTTTACTTACCATAAGAAATGGGAGCCTCTATGGTGTAGCCACTAGACGCTCGCATGTGGATTGGAAGCCGTAGGTTCGGGTCCTGACGGAGCCATACTTATTTCAAAACTGAAGTTGGTTCTCAGGTCGACCTAGCCTTGCGTGGGTACCATATACAGTCATGCGAAGTAAAAGCGGCCGGCGTGATCTTGACCACATCATCCACTAAGTGCCGATTGGTCTATAAAACATAGCCCTTTGTGCCCAATACGGCTTAAGGCGTGAAAAAAAGGTCCTTTACCACGAGAAGTGCAGTATGGTGCGCACCAGGACCATATTAACACACGGACATTGAACTATTGCTCCAGGGCTTCTTGAGCATTAAAGGCCCCATGCCTTTGCATATGCGTAGCCCATAATTTAATTCAAACTCACATTTTCTTATCCTCCTTCTCAATCTCACAGATAAATCAAGAATAACGTAAGGTTACTGTAATAATGTGGAAGCCGCTTGACTTACTTTAACAAAAATTACCTTGGCTTCCAGGTCGACCCAGCCTTAAATGGGTACCAAGTAAAGTCTTGGGAAGTAAAAGTGACCCACCGATTGCGGATTGGTCTATAGAATATAGGTTTCACCCTATATATCCAATACACATGAAGGTATGGACACGGGCCCTTTATTCAATAATGTAGGCCAATGTTGTCTCTGTATGATTTACCAACCAAATACCTTTTTATTATTTATTTCGCGCAGACATCGCGGCTTAGCTGTGAACCACAACAGAGCGCCCACCCAGCCTTTTAAAGGGAACTCATAAAAAGAGGAAGAAGAAGGAGGAGTAGGTTCTGGTGTGGGCGTCAATGCGACTGCCGCTAGTACCCTCTTGGACGCACACAGTGGGGCTGTATATAGAGACAGGCTACAGTAAGCCTTCAGCACATACAGTCATACGAGTGCAAACAGTAAGGGCTTCGCTTGAACTAGGTCACAGAATTCTCAAACCGGATAAACGTGTGCAGTCTCTCCTGACATTCGCTACCCTAACTTAATTCTTGTTCTGCAGGTGAATCAAAGGTTCAGTATTCAGCTGATGACGCTACGACAATCCAAATATTAAAAACCCGGTTCCCACGAGTCTCGAGTGAATAGAAATTGCACACAAACAATGAAGTATGTCTAGAGAAAGCAGTGGCAAACTGCTGAAAGTAACATTTGCCAAGAATACCCACAACAGCCGAAAAATGCTAGGGTTGGTTCTGTACATTATAAGTGCATTGGTGCGCAACTATCAATAGAAGCCCTTTTGTTATTATAGATCGCTCTGGCACTGTCTTTAGCACATTTGTTTGTCATCAAAGCCGTCCATACTCCCCTTCCCCACACCTCCGTCATCATCATCAACACCCTGTTCTGTGGATATCAATAACTTTAGGCTTATTGTCGATTCCTCTATTCAATTTTGTCCAATGCGCGCGCGTGTGTGTGTGTTTATGTGTGTGTGTTTTAAAAATATATTATGCATGACTGTCTTGTCCGTAATCCCTAACGTATCTCATCATGTTCGTCTTGAGTTTCTCTCGGTCTTCTTGTGCCCTTAGTGCATTTGCTTCCCCCTCTTCCCCCCCCCCCCCACCCCCACTTCAATGCGTTTCCTAATTCGTTGGGTTCACTTCCGAGGAATGAATGAGTTATTTCGTTCCACCTCTCGTTTTTTTTAAAAATCTGCATTCGATTTTAAAATAGATGCGCCTTTCGACCCAAAACATCCGATTTCAGCAAACAAGTAATTAGTTGCATTTAATGACATGCTTGTTAAGGCCAGTACTTCTATTCTTCCCTTCCCCCTTCCTTATTTTTTACCCGAAGAAAATAAGGGCTCCGTAATAAAATAATTAACTTCACGGGGAATGTTGCAGAAAAAAATTAACTTCACGGGGAATGCTGCAGAAAATAAGTAACTTCACAAAGAATGTTGCTATGAAGTCAGTCACCAGTAATACCATTGCTAACCCGAATTTGTTTAAAATGAACACTCGTTTAGCATGAATCAAAGTGTGTTCCTAGAGAGTATTGCACTTTTACATGTATTATTTGTCCAGATTACCACAAATTTTTTCCAATTTGTTTAACAGATGCTCTTGATTTTTATCTTGATCTTGATGCGGAGGAGAAGATGGATCACCACAGTCTGGTGAGACTGATGCAGTTGGGAGTGACGAGAGGTTCTGGCAGAAGCTCAAGGCTCAGAGGAAAGGCAAGACGGACGTTTAATCAGAAAGCTACTGGCACCATTAGTATCGGAACTCTTCGCTGGCTGCTGAAGATGGGGACGGAGGGCTTATTCCTATCCCAAGCACATTCTACAAGAATGTGTACAATCATTTCTAGACTACTAACATGAATGAAGTTGACTGTTGACCATATTGACGAACTCCTTGTGGTCCGGGTTCACTCCCGGGGGTAGGCAGAAAAGCCACATTTCTCCCAGATTAACGGTACCTATAATGGAATCAATGCCGAAGGGTTGCGATATCCATAGTACCGAGCCAAAGGGTTTACAACTCATGGTTTCTGGAAACGTTAAAAAAAAAAATACGAAGTTAAACGTGGACATTACCTTTTATAGATGCGGGTATTTCCATCTGCCCTCCTGTGACAACATAATCATTCTGACGTTTGTCCCATGTCATCTTTCTGGCCAACATGATCTTTTTCCTCGTAACCTCGTGAATCTGCAAGACCCAGTCGTTGTGTTTATTTTTCCCTCCGACTGCATCGCTGATCTCAAATAATTTCCTTAAAGATGTTGACGTCGAATCTAGACGGGTAGTAAAGTTAATTTCACCAGCACCCCTTGATGAACAGCTATGGACAATCTTTGAACTTGCTGCTGAGTTCGAGTCTTTGCACGTACATTTACTATCAGCGGAGTCTGGAATACACTTTCTCATTTCACTGGCTTTAAGCTTCACAGTCAGCGGTAAATGATATTTAACAATCAGTTCACGTAATGTTAGAGACTTGTCATCCCAGGCAAACTCACTGATGTTTTCAGGAACTCCAGGCGAATAGGCTGAACTTGTAATATCCCTTGATGAAATTACTTTTCTCTTTGTTTCAGTCATTTTCCGAAATGTGACAAGTTGCAAGGCTATGCTAATAATCCATTTCACAATGAATAAATAAAAATGTGTATTTATTTTACTAAATGTAAATCCAAGCCCGTGAACAGTGAGAATATTTTAGAAGCTGGCAAGTTCAAAGTTAACTAAATTCAAATAGTACACCACGTTAGAACGTTCCTTCTTAGAGTTTGCAGAAATCTTTTACAAGATATTGATTTAACGTCAGATAAATGTGATCATTTATCCTTGTCCTTGGACCAATTTGAACTAACAGAATGGAATCCGCTGCGATTATAACAGTCCAATTCTTCTTTTGTACAATATTTCCTTTGCCACCTCCTGCATTTCACTATGTTTCCCGTGCCGTTTCTTGATTGACATTCAATACATAAAATATGTATTGCTCGTGAATTTAACAGAGATACGACGCCTATTGAATCTTCCTTCTCTGTTCACAAATGTGAACTGCACTTCCTGAAGTCGCTACACGTTTTAGTTTGTTAGATGTTGCGTGACATGCAAGCAGACGTTGGAAAGTCGCCATGTGTCAACAGTTCGTTTTAGGTCTGCCAAAGCATAACTTCGTTTTACATAGATTCTCAGATTCTAAGCCTCTTTAAAAACCCCTCATTCCCATATCCCCTGCCTCGTAACGCTAAATCACAGGAACAAAAGTTTTCCTGGCATATAAATATGATTTTAACATCTCGAACCATGGCTTGCCAATGTGTGCTAGGTCAAGCGTGAAGTATTATCTACATGGCGTTGAGTACGGTTTAATCAGTAAAAAACATACCTACGCAATAATAGCACTCGTATATAGTTAAAAAGTTAGTTGCGTATCCTTTACAGGACGTTGCAGAACCAACCCCAGCAATTTTTGGGGGCTGTTGCGGTTTTTCTAGGCTAATTTACGTCCAGTAGTTTGCCATTGCTTACTGGAAGGGTGGCTCTCGATACCACTGGCGAAACCAACGCAAGACGTAAGGCCCGCAGTTGTGATCGAATCCGGCACCCCGGCATTAAGAAGCGCGTTCGCAACGCCTAAGCCACAGACGTCGACACCTGCCTAGTAACAGTACAGATACTCACAGTAAAAACACCTACACAGAAACACATGTAGCGTTTTCATTTTTGTCAATACAGAGTCACAGACACGAGCTCTCATTTTTATCACTATAATTACCCTGTTAGGTCGCTTAGAGCCCGAAGTCGATTCTTCGAGTCCCTTCAGTCATGTGCAGTTTTGTTTGATGCGTGGAACCTAATACTTGTGTCTGGCGTCTCTCGGCAAGGTTGGCTGCAGGGTTCCTTTAGATATCCTCACTTCCTCATTCCGTTTGTTTCCCATGTCAATGCCTGTTTTGTGATTCTTTGCCGGCTGCATCTCAGAATGAGCATAATACAGTATTATCTTCTGTCATGTGGTTTAGATCATACTAAACAAATCCAGATTCCGCAGTAATTACTGCAGTCAATCAATCAGGTGGGACGGGACGGGGGGCAAGACAACAGAGTTAATATAAAACCAAGGTCAACACGACTCCAAAAAGTACATATTGTGCTGTAGTTGGTATACCGCCGAAAAAGACTGTGGTCGAAACGTTCGATTTTGTTTGTGTGCGTCTTTTCCATTCCTTCCGTTGAGCTTTCTAGTCGCATTTTGTGTTATATTCAGTATTTCTCATCAAAATTACAACTCATTTAAGCACAGCTAATTAATTATTTATTATACATGCAGGGAAAAAAAACCATGAAGCTCATTATCGTCCATAAGCATCTTTCATTCGCCATAAAAAGTGATTATTTAGAATATTAAAATACAGTTGAAGTGCTAGCAGTTAACGACCACTCAAGACAGGGTATCGCGTGATATTTTCGTTCTCGTCGATTCGCTGTTGGTAAAAAGATAGTAGTGAGTACGCTACCATCGCAGTACATTGTTTGAGGTTTTGGACAACGGATCAACATCAAGGCACACGGGTGTAACCCATAAGTGCTCCGTTATTCTTCTAACTCAAGTCTGAGTCCGAAGAAGCTCAGCACAGTGCACAGGCTCTGTAGCACCGGCGAGGATCCTGAAATACTTTGAAAAGATTTTTAACTCGAAATTCTGCCCGGGCGGCGCCGTTAGGCTACTCTTTTAGATTCCCAACTGCTAAGGGATTTTTTACGTGCGCAATAATGCACACGGGTGTCCGATCTCACTACCCAAAAACCTCGGGGAAATACTAGAAGTCCAAGTCCTTGCCAGAGATTGAAATCGGAACCTCTGGCACTCGAGGCGTGATTTGAGTGACAGTTTTCTGGATCTTCTGGCCGTATTCAGCTACTCCATCTATCCATTTTTTCCTGGGTCTTCCTCTGGCCTTTCTTCCCGATGTTCTACTGTAAAAGGCCTTATAGGCAATCTGATCCGGTTGCATTCTTACTAAATGGCCAAACCACTTCATTCTCTGTCTTTCAATATGTTCCATGCATGCTCTTGTTCCAACTTTGTCTCTAATGCTGACGTTTGTGACTCTGTCTCTTCGTGTATTGTTGGTGACTCTTCGGAGACATCGCATTTCACACGTAGTTATTTTTTGCATATATGATTTGTTCATTGTCCACGTTTGGCACTGATAACATAACGTAGGGATGAAAATGCTGTTGATCATCCGTTGTTTGGCTGGTAACGAGATCTTTGGATGACAAAGAAATGGGGCCAGTTGGTAGTTGACTGCATTGGCTTTTTGAACTCTAGCCTGTATCTCTGTTTGTTTGTTTGTTTTATTTTAGGATCCAGAAGCCATGAGTTGTTAACCCTTAGGCTCGGTATTATGGATATCGCAACCTTTAGGCCTTGATTCCATTTTAAATACCGTAAATCTGGGAGAAATGTGGCTTTTCTGCCCACCCCCGGGAGTGAACCCGGACCGCAAGGAGTGCGTCACCCGCTCACCGCGCAATCCGTTTTAGCCAACTACGCTAGAGAGACGGGCAGCCTGTATCTCTTTATCGAGTCTCCATCTTCTGTAAATATGCATCCTAAGTACTTGAATTCTTGAACTTGTTCTAATTGTATGTCATTGATCTTTATGTTTACATTACTGTGTTTCTTTCCTATGGTCATTACTTCAGTTTTTGAAGTGTTTATTTTCATGTCAAATTTTGTACAGTTAGTGAGCAATGAATTAACATTTTGTTGTAATTTTTGTTCTTCTTCTTGTAACAAACATTGGTCATCTGCAAAGAGTAGTTCATTTATAATATCTGTGTTTTGGTTTGACTCCTGTGCAATTTTATCCGTATATGTGATGAAGAGTAGGGCTGATAGGACACATCCTTGTAGTACTCCTGATGTAATGGGGAACCAGCCTGTCATACCTTCCGTTGTTCTTACAGCGCTCTGGCTATTTTGATAGAGAGCCATTATGTTTCCCAATAATTGACCCGGTACACCATATTCTTCAAAAATGTTCCATAGTTTATTTCTGTTAACCCTGTCTTATTATGAAAGACTAACCTACGTAAAATTAACACCTGTGAAATGAGATGCCTGAGAAAAGCCGCCAACTTAACCATCCGAGACAAAGTTAGAAACGATATTATCAGACAGACTCTAGGAACAACACCATGCAGCTAATTCATAGAGAACAGAAGATCAAATGGTTTGGTCATTTAGTAAGAATGCAGCCAGAACTACTAATGCAGACGCTACACATGAAAGGATCTGAAGTGAGAGCAAGAGGCCGCCCTAGTAGAAAATGGACTGAAGACATTAAAAAGCTTTCGCATGGGCACGGAATGAGAATACCATTGCTGCCCATCAAGCAATAGATTGCAAACTATTTCTCCCCCACAGCGCTTGACGGCAGAAGTGGAAACTGGTGATTGTTGCATTTGTAGAAAAAAATAGAGAACATTGTAGAGGCCCCTGCATATTGTGATGCCCTAATCTACAGCTTACTTAGCTTATGCCTAAATCCAGCAATGGCTAGCACGTTATCAGCTTCACAATTCTCCTGGAAAACAACTCGCCAAATTGCATCACGATAAACACTCATTCGATTACCTCCCCTAGTAATTGAGGAAAATTCTTTTACGGCAGCGGGTGTCGCCGTGGTGTTGCGGCTAGTCGCTCGCATGCGGATCGGAAGGTCGTTGGTGGAGCTTGAACTTTTTTCAAAAACGACCTACTTGGCTTCCTGGTCGACCTAACCTTGAATGGGTACCATGTATAGTTCTGGAAAGTAAAGGCGGTCGGCTTGATGTCAACCACAAGTAGTGATTGGTCTATAAAATGTAGGTCTAGCCCTATGTGCCCAATGCACCTAAAGGCGTGGCAAATGGTCCTTTAGTTTCCAGGCAGCTTGCTGACGTTCGCATTCCGGTCCAAAGGTAGTGGGTTTCGAATCCGCATCGAGTCGGATTTCTTTTCCCAGAATTAACCCTAGCTTCCGGCTCGACGCAGTCTAAAATAGGTTCTAGGGCCTGGGAAGTAGAGGCGGCCAGAGTGACGTCTACCACTTCACCCACGGAGTGCTAATTCGTCTACACAAATATGAGTCAAGCATGAGACGGATGCTCCCAGTGAAGGTTGCTGGGCACCATTAGCTTGTAGGATTCACAGTCGTTCCTCGTGGGGTACAATTTATTGTTTGAAGCCCCACCCTGGCTTCTGCCGGGGGCCCTGAATATAGCCGGGGCATATATAAGACCTAGCCATAGATATGGAGTAGCGGCTAAAAGTGGTTTCTGGGACCTCTCCACGGGTGATCCTCATCCGCATGGTGGCACTTTTTGTCACCGGGTGTTTATCGCTTGTGTGATGTCCTGGTGGGGTACAACTACCTACCTACTTACGTGGGCGCCATTTTTATAACTCCGTCCCTACATGGGAGTCAATTTTGTTTGTTTTTACAGCCCCATCGTGGCTGTCGTCGGGAGCCCTTTATATAATAAGCAGAACTCCACAGCGAAAGCACGCACAGCAGGAAGCTCGTTCAGCAGGAAGG